TCGCCATCGGGGTCATCATGCTCTTCGTGTCTCTCTTCGGATGCATCGGAGCCCTGAAGGAGAGCACGTGCTTGGTCAACATTGTAAGTTTGATGGAATGATAGAGATTTTAAACTTATGTAAATGATGCTCGAAACTCGATTCAAATTCAAGCATAGACTTCGACTGTGATTGGTCGAGGTTGATGTAGGGCATTGTAGGGCAATCGTTTTGAATTTAGTACTCTCGTACAGTAGCAGGAATGTGGGATATAGATCGCTATCAACCAGCCAAACTGGATTCACCAAAGTTGCATTATTAATTGTTCTTTGTTTGATATAGCGATAATATTAATTTCAATTATTAAACTAATTAATGTACTCCATCGCATTGGGAAACCTGTGATATCAGATATAATAATTGTTGAATAAATAAATCCTTTTGGGGATCCTATGTTCAGCAGTGGACGTCCTGTGGCTGAAATATTGATGATGATGAGACAGTACACAAAATGTTTGCATCTCCATATTAAAGTGACCTCGTGTCCAGTTCGCAGTGATCCTGACTCTAGTCCTCGTGCTGGAGGTAGCAGCAGCCATTGCTGCCTACAGCCTGCGCAGCCAGATCTCCGGCATGTTAAACGAGAACCTGCGCGCGAGCATGCCCGACTACTACAAGGACCCCATGGTGCAGGAGTACTTCGACTTCATGCAGTCTAGGGTAAGTTTCCTAAGGAGTAAATGCTTCTATTGTGAAGCCTGTGAATGATGTCAAACGCCAGGCGACAATTCGAGGTTCTATGCGAGGAACGCGGGTTCGAACCTCGTCATCCGCTGGACTATTCATTAGTAGCACAAGCGTATTTAGATTACGACGAGAGGGGTTAACGGGACTATAAGCAATTTGTATAAAATAAAACTGTCGACCGAGAACGGAGGAGAACTTCTAGATAGAAATAGGTAAAAGATGTTATCTACAAATTCAAAGCAAATATTCTCGAGATGACAAAAGCGAAAAAACAAAATGGAAATCAGGTTATTGAGCGACTGATAAAAAAAGGATTCTATTGCTTTAGATTGCTGTTATAACGCATATAAATATAAAATACAGGGATAAATAAATAAATATAAAATTGTAAATATTCCTTTAAATCTGACGATTTCAGATGAACTGCTGCGGTATCGAATCTTACCTCGATTGGGGCGATGTGAAGCCTCCAAGCGTGGCCACCGGTATCACCTACGGCAACCTGACCGTGCCGTCTTCGTGCTGCGCTGAGACCAGGATCGAAATGCTGGCTGAAATGGAAGTGGAAGAGTGCACTAAGATGTACTCCAATGGCTGCATGCCCAGAGTGTTCTATTTGGTCTACCAAAGCGCTGGTCTCCTGGGCGCTGGAGCTCTGACTATTGCTTTCATTCAGGTTAGTATTGGTTTGGATTCAATTTAGTTTGTTTCATGGGCAGAATGACTAAACGAATGATCAAATGATGCTGATTCATTAATTACCACAGCTCATGATGTATTTCCGCACTCCTAAAAACATTGATAGTATTTTTCATTGTTATTCGTTACTATGTTAATTACTATTCCATGATTGATATGCCGTTGTCTTCTTGTGTAAAGACATAATAACTATGAGTTAATTTATTACTTTTTGATTGATTTATTTATTGTTTAGAGGGATCTTTTTATTGCTGTAGCGTTGTTCCTTTAAGGGCTGATTTTTCAATGGCCAGATAACTTTTAACTGAAGAATAAGTTTAAACATTGACAGTTGCAGTATGGGAAATAAGTCAAAATGACAAGTTCATTCTTCAGTTAAAAGTTAACCGACTATTGAAAAATCAGCCCTAAATCAAGCGATTTATGACAATCTGCTACAATACGAGTGCCGTTTTGTTTAAGGTTTTGTATAAGCTCCAAGCTTTTACCACATTACCCAGGGTAATTTACCCTCAATTTCTTTCTTCCCCAGATCATCGGCATCGTCTTTTCCTTCTCCCTGGCCAGTGCCATCCGCAAAGCGAAGAACGACCGCGAGCGCAGGCGCTGGGAGATCCAGGAGCGCGTGATCAATGCGTACACGTCACTGAACCCTAACGACGAGAAGCAGCCACAAATAGTCTACGTACCCTTCCAGGGACAGACCGTAGCTTAAATGTCAGCAGCAATCATACGTGGAGGGAGCATTACAAAAGGACGCCCGGAAGTCAATTGAGAGTTCAGACCCTCGTAGTAGAACGCCTAAATCTATGCTTGAGACTGAATCGACTTTTGGGCGTCGTTCTGTAATATGGGCTCTTATTATGAAACAAAAATCGAGACTCGATCCTGATTAAAAAATTCAAGTCTTACCTAATTGGACATTCAAAATTAATTGAAATAATCATGATTACTTATGCTTAATTTTATTTGAATCAAGTTTTGAGTGTGATTTCATTTCATAATATTTTGGGCCGTAAAAGAGAATTCACGTTATGATTCAGCGAAAAATAAGATTTGACATTCCATTATTATTTAGGTTGTATTTTAAATAAATGCCATAGTTATAAATTCATATTTTAAATAGTTGCAAATGCTAGTTGTTTCAGTAAGACAATACTTGTTTTGTTGTTTTATTTTATTTCACAATCCTATTACATTTCGGGATGCATTTCAGGTATACTTTTTAGTGTTACTTTCTCTAACCATATCAGTTTACTACATAAGATAAAACCAAAATTAATTTAAAACATTAGAATATAATATTAAACCGTTACTAAAGTAAATAAGTGTATGTACTTATATAAAATAATAAATATCACAGTTTCAACTACGAATGACTGGTCAATTATAGTAATGAACTGTTTTATATGAATCTAGTATTAATATAATAAATATATTTTATTGAATAAATTTTATTTACACTTTAAATGTGTTTCAATTGGGTAAACTATACATATTTTAAAAAGAGTTATATGAGTAGGTATAAATCATCAACTCGTTGCGAAGTGCCTAAATGGTAGAGTTTAAGGTAATTATGATTACTTAATCAATATAAATTAAACACACTCAGTTTCTATAAAAAGACAAACAACACCTGCATCAATAAAGGCTAAATCTCGAAAACATACATAAGTAATAAGTAGTCGATAACCTCGAGCTGCCTGAATAAAAAGCAATAGCGGCCCAGATTTGTACGAATAAGGACGCAATTTTACTTTCATTGAGGACACTGACATAATACGTATATCATGAAATTCTAATTTAGTATGTAGGCCCTTTTCAGGGTAGGCACATACACTTTATTCAAGTCTGTTCTAGCTAAGATTTGCTTCCAGTGGAATCCGTTGTGGTTGACTGGCAGATAATGCCACCTGGCATTAAGTCCGCCACTGTACAGTTGTATGTGCAAAAGTGTAAATAAATAAATAAAATCCGAAACCGCAAGTCACAGGCTACAAAAAAGCAGTGTTGGTTAGCAATGTACAGTCTGATACGCTTGCTAGGTTTTTTAGAGTGGATTCGACCAAACAAGAGTAAATATTAATCTCAGAATAAATCGTCAGCTTTGACATATTTCCCATAATGAAACTCTCAATGTGCCAGTTATACCAGAAGTTATTCTTGGATAAAAATTTGGTCGAATCGGGCCTTAGCTAGCTTTCTAAGAATCCTAGCCTGGTTAATGTAAAAGTTTTGGTTAATAATCAAAGTCTAGAAGTAAGCATTCCAGCGTAAGAAATCTTCCACAGTGTAGAATAGATAGATGCACATGTCTACAGTGGTAGTCTACACACACTAATGAATAGCATATGGTAGAGCAGAGTGGTTAGTCGTGAACTAAGTATCCTGAAGGGAGAAATGAAATGGGGAGATGATGAGTTGTTGCTCCTACATTTTACATGAACAATAATGCTTTACGTACCACATTTGACAAGTAACATGCTGATAGTCGTATCGCTGCACGAGGATTGGTGTTAGATAAGTGCTAATAAATTAACGTCCTTCCGCAAAAATATCGTTTTGAATATCATCAATATCTTTATTGCATTCCATGTTGTACCTACATAATTTGGAAAAATGGAAAATGCTAATACACAATAAGTAGGTAAATGTTTGCACACAATCGTGCTCTCCATTGTACTCTGGCATCTTGTGACATGAAAACACTTAACAGAAACAGCAATTTCTTACATAAGAGAAATACTTACAGGAACATCAAGAAAGATATTAGATGTGTGGAGAAATATAATATGCGTATGAGATACTTTCTTAGATGAAGGCGACCAAGCAAAAACAACGTTTAAAAACGTACCGAAGTATACAAAAGAAAAGAAAAGAATAAAGTCAAATGATGATAAGGGTGAAAGAAAGGTAGGAAACTTCTCAAAAGGTAAGAATAGGGGACTGCTGATGATACACATAGAGCCACAACATACCACACGCTGCACACCATACTTAACTGAACCAAGAACCATGTACTTTTGCATAAGATTCAGGTGAATCACCGGGTCTTAGATTACCTATTAAGTAGGTACCGAATGATAAGATACTCAAAAATTCGACTTTTAGTATTTTTTTCATTCAATCAGCATGATATGATTATTTCGATATAGTGTGACTTGCATTTGAAATAAGTATTTATGTTATAGATCAACTGAGAAATTGTTTCAACTAACTATAAGTAACCAAGTCAAATAGGTAAATTCGAAGATGTAATGATAAATGTACTAGATAAGTAAGACGTACAAAAAAAAAGTTAGTGTAAGAAAGAACAATTATAGCGATAACTAAGAGATCATGCGCAATTCCATGAATTATTTTGAGTTAGTTATTGTTTTATATCTTATTGAAATAATCTATTTTTAAAGCTCTAGGACTGTAGCTGTAGCTATATCAGGTCAGTCTGCGCCATCGATAGAATATGAAAATCGAATTTGATACCAGCCGGATTTAGAACACTATGTAAATGTAATTTTCGATTGCGAGACGAAAAACAATTCTTATCAGATTGCAGCCCCATTATCAGGAGATAACGGCTCAGCCGAGGACCACGGCAGTTGACGCAAGCCCTACAGCCGGAAAGCTAGTGTTTACAAGATGACTGCGCCTGCGAGGAACGCGCAAGGTATGATGTTCACCAAGACTGAGACGGAGTACAACATGAAATCTATAAGGTTTCTGTTGTTGACCATCACGGCTATGTTCGTGGTAAGTAATTTTGATGTTTCCATCTACAAAAGCTTTTCTTCTTTGTACACTTCTTGTCTTATCTGGGATGAGTTTTGAATTTTGAATCGTGTGCGCTAATTGGCGGCCATTATCATACGATAATGGGCTCGACTCTATCAACTAGAGCTTTTTCGAACTACGAATTTGTTTTGCTAAAGTCCTACTAAGTTATTGGAAACCATTCAACATGGTGACCCACGTAGGAATCGAAACCGAAACCAACATTCTAGAGTTTTATTCTACTTTGACGATAGCGTTTAAACTGGTTTTTAAAAAAAAGGTTACATGAAACTGTGTTTTGTTTTGAAGATGAAAATCTTATTCCCAAATGTAATAAAATGAGGAACTGCAATAATTAATAAGTAAATGATTGCTACACAAACGAAACAATGCTCCTTCTAGTGACTTCTGATTTCGTTGTTGATAACATGCAAGTACATAGGTACAAACTTTATTATATTTATGCTAAAGATAAGGCTGATAGATATTATCCTTGTAATGTTATTAATACCCTTTGGAAAATCAATATTATCATAATGCATGTGTTTTCCACATTACATTAGTATATGATTATTGTTTTTAAGCCTTTAATAGAGAACTTTAACACCAGGTATTATTGACATTAATGATAATGATGATTAAGTAAATAGCAACTGTGAGTAGTGTGAATTTAACTTGCCTAAGATTATTTATAAGATACAAATAAACACACGTTTACCTACACAGGTAAATAAGAGGAACTCTCTCTTTTCGACTGAATAATAAAGATCGAATTATCAGGGATGCCGACAAATCAATCAAAATGATAACACACTGATCGCGTATAATATCATGTGATAACAAGAACATCTAATGTAATAACGCATACTTTCTAATGTAGGATAAAAACCTAATTAAAACAAAACATAATTAAAAACCAGGGTGTAGTTATATGTATATTCCAGTAAAAAGTTTAAGGCGGGTCCAGATATGTATCATTTGCCCGATCCGATCACCGTATCCGTATCGTCCACGCGTATCATGATCGCATATGTGGACGGGTAATGATATACGTCTCATGATACAATGAACAATACACAGATAGGTACGGATACGGTGATAGGATCGGTCAAATGATCATGTCTGGACCCGGCTTTAGACGTAGGTATTCAACGTTCTCAGGTCACCACAACCACAGAATAAGTAATAGTCAACCTGCTTTAGATACAACAATATGGTTTCTCTTAGTACCTACATTGTCACCGTATCAAGTATCAAGGATATGAATGATGGTACAATCAGCGTCAAAAAGTTCGCAACACGTCTTTGTTACAAATTACAATAAGATTGTGTTATCAACTTGTTAATTACTTTGGGTGTCACGAACTATTTTACGCTGACTGGACCTACATATTCGAAATCGAATAGAAACGTAAGTAACGTTAAACTATTTATAGCAATAAACGTAACCAAGCGGTGATGATGAAACTCGTCAAAGAAGTTAATGCTGTCGTTCCTACAGGCACTAGATTTCTCCGCGCCAAATAAACAATTACCTGCAGATTAATGAACAGTGACTTACCTTCCAGGTGATCGGGATCATGATGATCGTCCTCGGCATCTCCGTGTACGGGCACTACCACAGCTTCACGTTCTTCTATGACAGCGTCAAGAGCGGCCGGTTCATGACGCCGTCGGTGATGTGCGTGTTCATCGGGTTCGTTCTGCTGGTCGTGTCGACCTTTGGATTCATGGGCAGCTTGAAACTGAGCACGTGTATGGTCAACTTCGTAAGTAAATGAGTTTTTAACCGACGTCATTATAAGGGCTATATTTCACCGGGACACCATGGCGGGCGGCGCAACCAGTCACCGCTACCAACAAAATGTATGCAGCTTTGCGCAACCAAACGGACACCAGGTGAGTAACTCTCGATAGAGCTGTATACATTTTGTTGGTAGCCGGCGACTGGTTGCGCCGCCATGGTGTCCCGGTGAAATATAGCCCATAAGGTAGCAGGAAGGCGCTGGACGCAGGCCACTACCAACCGGGCAGCATGGAAAGCATTGGGGGAGGCCTATGTTCAGCAGTGGACGTCCTATGGCTGTGATGAAATCAGTTTTTTACATGTGCTTTTAAAATAAGGTAATACTTATATAGCTGAAAATGTATAAGAAATCAAAAGGGTTGGGGGACGTTCAGAAATAATATGTAGCCAGACTGGTGTGCCTGACTGCGTCACTTGACCTTCACTGATTGGGTTTTTATTGGCGGTCAAGTTGTATATCCTGGCTATTGTATGAGTTGCAGCGGTGGGAACGAGAGATGGGAATAATCCCGTGACTGTGTCACACGCAGGCGTGAGACCTACTTTTACGTACAACATTGGCAATCGCATCTTTAGCGTGGGGCACGATCAGCTGATGAGAATAAAGATTAATTTCTTCGGTCTTTGAACCACGCTTTATTAATCTTTGCCGTCCACTCACTTCCAACAAAATTCACTGTTAGTAAAGAAAATTCTAATAAAAAATGGTGTTTTCTTACAGTACGCGTTGATCCTGTTGAAGATTCTCATCGTGAAGTTGGCGATTGTCATCCTGGCGTTCACGACAGGATCTTCGGCTCTTATGGGCTACATCGACATTCCCGTGGCACAGTACCCCGTAGACCGGGAAATTCAGACTGAAATCGACGCTTTGCAAGCTGGGGTAAGTAAAGTAAACTAGTTGGTTAAAGTTGCAAGATCTAAAAACGAAAAGGAGGTTTAAAAATTGCAACTATAAGAACAACACACTTACTTCCTAAGAACAATCACAATACCTATCTAGTTCAAACCTGGTAACCATATACAGGGTGTTAGGTAAATGGGTATATGAGCCGACACTAGCCCATGTTAACATGGTCATATAAATGGTATGGTGAAGTCAGAAAATTGATATCTTCATTTTAATTATTTTAATTTTCATACAAATCGGATTTTATAAAATGTATTTTGTATGAAAATTAAAAAAAATAAAATGATATACCCATTTACCTAACACCCTGTATAAAAGGTTGGAAATTTTCTTCTGGAAGAAGGATTTTCTTCTGAAATACTGATGACCGTTGTTTTAATTACAGATCGGTTGCTGCGGTAGCAATTCCTTCCTCGACTACATCGGTATGGAGTTCACTGACAGCCACAACACCTCCGTGGTGACCACCGAGGTGGACGGAGACATTGTGAGCATGGTGGTGCCCAGAACTTGCTGCGCGGGCAACAGTCAGGCCATCTGCAACCGACTCCGCGCGACTGGATGCAAGCAAGCTATCGCGAACGCTATCTCTCAGAATGCTGCGGTCTTGGGCGTACTTGGGCTGTCAGTTATGTTTATATTGGTAAGTAGCTGGTAGGCTGATCGCGGTTGGAACTGTAGGCTAGTACGCCAACTACCGAGGTGGTCGGAGACATCGTCAGCATGGTGGTGCCCAGGACTTGCTGCGCGGGCAACAGTCAGGCCATCTGCAACCGACTCCGCGCGACTGGGTGCAAGCAAGCTATCGCGAACGCTATATCTCAGAATGCTGCGGTCTTGGGCGTACTGGGGCTGTCAGTTATGTTTATATTGGTAAGTAGCTGGTAGACTGATCGCGGTTAGAACTTTAGGCAAGTAAGCCAACCACCGAGGTGGACGGAGACATTGTCAGCATGGTGGTGCCCAGGACTTGCTACGCGGGCAACAGTCAGGCCATCTGCAACCGACTCCGCGCGACTGGTTGCAAGCAAGCTATCGCGAACGCTATCTCTCAAAATGCTGCCGTCTTGGGCGTACTGGGGCTGTCAGTTATGTTTATTTTGGTAAGTTGCCTAGGAATTTCATTGTTGTAATTTATAGCGTCAGGTTATGCGATGGGCTGATCGCTGTTAAGATTTGCATTGGTTGGAACACTTAGAACCGGGTTTGGCAAGAAAAACACTTATTTGGTTTAAGTGCCGTTAGACTCTCCCGGTTTAAACGTCTGGACGCGGAAAAAGCACTAGTTTATGAAATCTGCACTGTCGGCTTTAAGACAGTTGCCGTTAGGGTGGTACTACCAGTATTATTCATGTTCATATTTACTATTTTATGACTGCTTGATGATTAAATTGTAAATAAGCCGCGTGAGAAGATAAAAGTGAGAGGATAAGCGTTTTATCTGTAAACCTTTTCTAGGACTAGGAAGAAGGTACCTTATTAATTAATAAAACTACCTAAAGTCAATTGTTTTGTCCAGGTCCTGGGAATAACATTCGCGTTGCTGCTGGCCCGTTGCATCCGCAAGCTGAAGAGCGAGCGAGCCATGATGGCGTGGAAGATTCGGGAGCAGCTCATTATAGCTCGCATGGAAGAAGAAAGGAAGAACGACCCCACTCTTTACATCACCCCAGCAGAGTCCAGTGTTGCTTAATCTACGTAAATTTGTACAGACAGCACATTAAGCCTAGGCGCAGATTTCCGACTTTGAGTTGGCCGTTTAGTCGGGCTGTTAATCAGTATGGACATGTATGAAAGTGCACACATTACGGATTTGGTATCGGCCGATTCTTCATACAAATTAGAATCGGGCCCAACTATCGGCCAACTAAAAGCCGATAGTCTGCGCCTAGGCTAAGGCCTTGTTCAGACTCGCGCGGTAACCGCGCGGTTTGTGGGTGGTTCTCATTGGCGAGGCTATGAGGCGGTAACCGTGTGGTAGTGTCCGACCGAAACTAGTTTTACGACCGAAACCGAAACCGAAAACGAATTTCGGCAACGGTGTCTATTTCGGCCGAAACCGAAACCGAAACTTCCTTACAATACAAGGCTCATATTTTGAGGGAAAAGTAAAGAAAACGTTATTATAATCAGACAGTCTTTATTGTTTTCTCTTTAAAATGCATTAAAATTGAACTTATAAAGCGCCTTTTTACTCTAAAAGGTATCAAATTATGTTTTAAAAAAGAAAAAGAAGGATTTATAGTCTAGATTTTTTTTAATTACCCGCAATATTCAGGACATCTACATAACCCGTCCCATGTTCGAGTCTTTTACCTTAATAATTTCTCAAAACAAAATTGGTAGTACCAGACTGTCTGACTTGTGTGATACTAACTTACGTAACATGAACTTTGAAACTCTGAATCCATAATATTATCACCATGAAATGTACTATAGTCATTACTAACTACCTAACTAATGTTTGTTTACGTATAGCATTTGCGAACCAAAAAAAATTTGTAGGTTAGATTAAACTTTTATCAGTCATATTGATATTTTTTTATGTTTATTGCTCTTATGTTATAACGACATATAAAACGAGATAAAACTTACCAAATTCAAAATAAATCACTCGAAAACTCGCCACCACAACAAAACTAACAGCAAACAAACAAGCGAGCGAATCACGACATTGGCTCTGATCGAATTTATTCACTCATTCAACGCGCCGAACATGACCGATAACAGTGCGGAAACTCCCGAATGCACATTCGGTTTCGGTCGTAGTTTAGGCAAGTTTGCCGCCGAAAACGAAACTAAACCGAAACTCGTGATTTTACCGAAACTCAACCGAAAACGAAACCGAAACCGAACATTCGGTCGGACACTACCGTGTGGTTACGGTTCGATGCAAATTGCTCGAGAACTGCCCAGCAACCGCGTGATTCGGCAGTGTCTGAACTAGGCCTAAGCTAAACGCTGTGGCATCTTATCTAGTTGTCGTAGAAGCGATATTGCGACAAAAAATGAGTAATTTGATGTGCTGGTGACTGTACTGTTGTTAATAAATTATACATATACACATTATAATACATATTATCATATTATACATAATATACATTATACACTTTATATTTTACATGGAGTATGTAATTTTTTTTAGTTCTTAAGGTTAATTAAGTAATTAGGATAAAATAATAAATGATCAGTCAAAGTGAAAGACTGAAGTTTTATGAAAATCTGTATTTTTGGAATTTCTTATAAAATCTACCAATTTAAAAAATGGTTTGGTATTCTTCATACATAATGTAAAATAAGAAAATCATATAAATATAGAATAACATCAAATGTCTTTTATTTAGATAGATTAAGTACTAGTAATTGGTCAACAATCAATGTAGGTACTATGTTTACAATCTACAGCTAATATTCAGTAAGTAATTCATAGAAATGTGGATTTTTTATCAATACATTATCAAATTTTGATAAATAAATGCTTAAATAACCAAATTATCTTATCGGTAATAAACACTACTTATATCACTACTGAATCTAGGAATTCAAAATTTTATAATTATTACAGTTGAATGACATTTTACTGTTTTACTACCCATACCTCTACGATAATTTAAAATAATACTTGCATTTAATAGTTATAGCATAAATTACAAAAATGAATATTAAATACACTAACTAGGAACATCTTCTGCATTCTTTTGGTATTCAGTTTTGTGATCCCAAAAGTTTTTGGCAACTTTTCGGACTTCAGTACCAATGGTTTCTTGTGAACCATTCTGCATGTATGGCGGTGTGAACTCTCTGTAGGCTATGCACACCCTGCGAGACACAATATCCTCACGGAGTACACAATGTTCCCAGTGGTACCTCGATTCACCATAAATCACCAGCAAAGACCTCCTGAAACATGTCAAATTAATTTGTTAATAAATTCCAACTATTTAATAATCAAAAATAAAATTATTATTTGTATTAAAATTATACCTAGGCATTGGTATCCTAATAATAACATCCATATAATTTTTTGGCTTCCAAAACGCTAAGGCTGTATCATCACTTCCATTTTCCAATAGTTTGCCTTTAGAATCAACTATTGCGCAATACTCATCAGCACAATACAAATTATACTTTTTTCTGTCCCCAAGAAATGGTGTCATAGTCAACACAGAATCTGATAAACAATTTACAGTGACGATTCTTTCACCCCAAACCCAACAATCATCTATATGAGGATCAATAGAAGCGCCTTTGCTAGGGTCATACTCCAAAGAACATTGCTCAATAGTTTCATAATGTTGCAACAATTCAATTCTTTCAAATCTGTCCTGTAAGAACTTTGTGCATTCTGGAAACCCTTTGAAATGGCCTAGAACAATTTTTTTCTTTTTAAAATTAGTTTTTGGCCCGAAATTTTGCTTTCGCCGCCCGCTTTGCGAGATATCCCACGGCATGTCGTCGATGTTTTTCATTAACTCTTTTTCTTCTTCTTCGCTTATGAAATCTAGCTGTATGTAAACTCCAGGGTAGTCTATAGACTCGCCTTCGTGGTGAGGATGCTGTTTATAGAGATCCATGTCCCAGCCTTTCCAGGCTTTGTTGCAAAGTGGACAATAAACATAACCTTTATCCTTGTTTAGCGCCAGTTGTAACTTCATGTCTGCAGCTCCATATTGTGTCTCACAAATCAGACAAGTTCGGCAACCTTTGCAGCCACATGGTCTAGGTTTAGTCATGTTAAGAAACCGAATTTGTAGGACTTTTTATCAAATAAATCACGAATCCATCGGCAGCAAAATCACATTTTTTGACACTAACTGACCTGACAGTGACAGTCTGACAGAAGTGACAGATCGCATGTGACAGTCAATTGTTGCAGTCCGAAACTATACAAAATCGAAAACTAAAATGGTTAATGATTTATTGATTCCTAACCAAGAGTTAACAGTCTGTGTTTGATAATTTGATATATAGCCTGACCAGGAACATAAAAACCCTCGCCATGTTGCGGAAAACTAATGGTACTAATTTCTTTTAATGGCAACAGTAACTGAAAACTTCATTGACATGTCACCTTGCATGTCAGTCTATTGTTGTCAAAGTGTAAACAAACTTTATTTTAAATGTTTGCAATTGATTTTGTGAATTAAATTGCTAAAATATTTTTATAGTCGTGAAAGAAAAGTGGTTCACGATGTGTTAATGTATACCTTGATTTTTTAGAATCCAGCAGAGATGTAAACAAACACTTTCATACACAATTACACCATAATCACTTACGTGTTCATAATATCATACACATTATTTAACAAGCCCATGAAACCAACTTCATTTTCACGTTCATACAAGTTTGAAATCAATCTTTGAAACAAATTATTTTTGCAAAATACGTGGACGATGAAAATTTGTGAGACTTGTCAAATTGACTTGACGTTTAAAATCATGTGTTATCTCCATATTGTCTATGACTTGTCTCTGACACATCAGTGCTGTAACCTGTGAGTCATAGACAATAATCTGTAAATTTAATCGATATTATTTTAAGTATTCACTTATTCCGATTACTGATTAATTTTAAATAAAAAATATAGGATACCTACTTTGTTTAGTTTTCCAGCGATAACTTCGACAATATTGGAGATAACGTAAATTTATTTTTCTACTTTTAGTGTATACTTTTTCGGAGTCAGTTTAATTTTTAGTCGGTTTTATTTAAACGAAATTATTTTACTTTTTTATGCAATTATGCTTACGTATTGTTCCATTGCTTATTTTCCTATATAAGTAAATAAAATAAAAGAAAATAAAAATATTCTTTCAATTGATAGCATCTTAAATTACCTCCCTAGCGGAATAGAGCAACAAAGAACTGAGCGAGCGAGATGTCACTACTAGTAGCAACACTGTCAAACAGAACTTTTTGCAACTAGTCATAGTCATAGTCATTTATTCCATAAACAATAACATTATCGTATTGGAAACTATTTGAAGTTTAATAACTTTACGGATATCATTGATTGTTTTACTGTCCAGTGTGTTTTTTGATTACATCTGTGCATACAGTTTGTTTCCTGTTCTCGAAAATTTCATAATCAGTTCACAATCACATTCAATGTTGCGACATTGTTGCATATTTTTAGTATTTTGACGATCACCCGGCGATGATACGCAAGTAGGTTAGTACCTACTTGCGTATCATCGCCGGGTGAAATTATTGTAGTCAATAATTTCACTTCGCGATTAACGAGAGGTTTTGTCGCATCACTAGTTGACAGACTAAAAATATTTTTATGTCAGTTGGCCATTTTTGATGACATTTCTGCTGATTTCTAAAAAATTTGACTACCTTGATTTTTTAGAATCCAGCAGAGATGTAAACAAACACTTTCATACACAATTACACCATAATCACTTACGTGTTCATAATATCATACACATTATTTAACAAGCCCATGAAACCAACTTCATTTTCACGTTCATACAAGTTTGAAATCAATCTTTGAAACAAATTATTTTTGCAAAATACGTGGACGATGAAAATTTGTGAGACTTGTCAAATTGACTTGACGTTTAAAATCATGTGTTATCTCCATATTGTCTATGACTTGTCTCTGACACATCAGTGCTGTAACCTGTGAGTCATAGACAATAATCTGTAAATTTAATCGATATTATTTTAAGTATTCACTTATTCCGATTACTGATTAATTTTAAATAAAAAATATAGGATACCTACTTTGTTTAGTTTTCCAGCGATAACTTCGACAATATTGGAGATAACGTAAATTTATTTTTCTACTTTTAGTGTATACTTTTTCGGAGTCAGTTTAATTTTTAGTCGGTTTTATTTAAACGAAATTATTTTACTTTTTTATGCAATTATGCTTACGTATTGTTCCATTGCTTATTTTCCTATATAAGTAAATAAAATAAAAGAAAATAAAAATATTCTTTCAATTGATAGCATCTTAAATTACCTCCCTAGCGGAATAGAGCAACAAAGAACTGAGCGAGCGAGATGTCACTACTAGTAGCAACACTGTCAAACAGAACTTTTTGCAACTAGTCATAGTCATAGTCATTTATTCCATAAACAATAACATTATCGTATTGGAAACTATTTGAAGTTTAATAACTTTACGGATATCATTGATTGTTTTACTGTCCAGTGTGTTTTTTGATTACATCTGTGCATACAGTTTGTTTCCTGTTCTCGAAAATTTCATAATCAGTTCACAATCACATTCAATGTTGCGACATTGTTGCATATTTTTAGTATTTTGACGATCACCCGGCGATGATACGCAAGTAGGTTAGTACCTACTTGCGTATCATCGCCGGGTGAAATTATTGTAGTCAATAATTTCACTTCGCGATTAACGAGAGGTTTTGTCGCATCACTAGTTGACAGACTAAAAATATTTTTATGTCAGTTGGCCATTTTTGATGACATTTCTGCTGATTTCTAAAAAATTTGACTATATTTGTCGAAGAGAAATACAAAGGGTTCGGACAATATTTTCATTGAATAATGTTTCCGACAAAGGTTGTCAAATTGACTGACATGTTTATCGTTTAATACAGTCCACTATGAAAATTAGCTGTAGTCTGTTTCAACTACTTATTTTAATGTTTTTTGTCACTTTCTAAGTTTTGAATTTTATGGAATTGGGAAAGAAGTACCGAGTTTGAAGGGTTCATGAGCAGACATTGCAGTTGAATATTCAAGTTCTGAATTTGATTACTGATGAATAATAAAATAAATCCTACTAGCTCGATTGATGGTTTCATTTAATTTATTTAAACCAGGTTACCTTTAATAATATTTTTCGTTAATTTATGAAAATATCAAATTAGCCCGTAATCCTGAATCCTGATACATAAATTCAGCCTATTAATTTAACACATGTACGACTGTACTCAGTGTTGCACTATCAAATGCAATTGAAGCGCCTCTATGCCAGGGTTTTTATGTTCCTGGTCAGGCTATACCTACCTATTTTAACGTCTCGTAATTTATAAGTAATTATAAATCCAAATTAATTCCATTTTAAGATACTAATTTTATTCCTGCCTCAGACAAAGATAAGATGAAATAGGCATATTCTAGCAGCTGAACCAGCTCTAGTACCAAACACCAATATCATAGTTAAAATAAATTATCTCTACTTAAGTTAGTAAATAAAAGGCACATTATCATTATGCATAATTTATTTTGTCAAAGAGACCAAATTTTGATACATATAAAGAAAAAAGGACAATTGAAACGAAAGATTGGTAATATTCATTCTGTTTATGATTACATAAAACTTTATTGATTCCTAAAAGATTACTCATTAATGTCCATAAATATTTATGTTCGATAAGGATTACTTTTTGAGTTTACCTAAGTAAGAATAAAATTTTGCTTTAATATTATTAATACCTACCGTCCCTTAATTAGTAGGAAGGCATTGATTTCCAATTCTTGTGCATTATAATATTTTTATTTTAACTACTTTGTAAACTACATCTAAGTAGAAATGTGTCAAAATGTAAAATGTGTTATTAATAATAACATTGGTAATGTGAATAAACATAATCACGTGACTAGTATAAATGCAATGTTAATTCATCGTTTACTGATGATTTATAAATATACCATGCGCATTTTTGTATACTGTAGGTACTCGTAAATACATTGGAGTGAGTATTTATGATTACAACAAACGTTAACATGTCCTAAAAATATGAGACATGATTTGTCTGTGCGTGTGCCGCTCATAAAATTGAACTTAATAAATTATACAGTGTGTCCGGGCATGTAGTGATCAAACTTTAAGGGCGTAATCTATGGACAATTTTATCGGTGAAAATACTTTAAATTTGGGGCTTGACCCATTTCTCGCATATTTACTAGGATTTAAGTTTTTAATTTTAAGTTTTCACCTCTTCCTTCAAAAACAAGTGATAGCGTGGGTAACTTAACATTAATAAGCTAATATTTTATATCATGCGATGGCCAATAAAATTATCTACTAGTAGAAGTAGAAAACAGACACAAGTTTCATACATTTTAAGGGAGTAAGAATGGATTTAATTAGAAATAAACATGATTTTTTTCACATCTTTTTCAGTTATTTCCGAACACAAGAAAAACCAGGTCGTTAAGGTATGTTTTATTTGCATTGTATTATTAGTATTTGAGCCATTCTACAAAACGAATGTAAATTTATTAGTCTACGTCTATTAGTTTCGACGTAATTGTTGAACAGAGATACCCATTCCCAGCGGTTTCCATAGTAATCGGAATAGGTTGTGTGATTCTTTCAGGCAGTGCATTTTCGCATGTCGCGTGCGCTATGGAAACCGCTGGGAAGGGGTATCTTTGTTCAACAATTACGTCGAAACTAATAGACGTAGACTAATAAATTTACATTCGTTTTGTAGAATAGCTCAAATACCAATAATAAAATGCAAATAAAACATACCTTAACGACCTGGTTTTTCTTGTGTTGGGAAATAACTGAAAAAGATGTGAAAAAAATTATGTTTATTTCTAATTATATCCATTCTTACACCCTTAAAATGTATGAAACTTGTATCTGTTTTCTACTTCTACTAATAGATAATTATATTAGCTATCGCATGATATAAAATTTTTGCTTATTAATGTTAAACTACCCACGCTATCACTTGTTTTTGAAGGAAGAGGTGAAAACTTAAAATTAAAAACTTAAATCCTTGTAAATATGCGAGAAATGGGTCAAGCCCCAAATTTAAAGTATTTTCACCGATAAAATTGTCCATAGATTACGCCCTTAAAGTTTGATCACTACATGCCCGGACACACTGTATAGAGATATAAGTATAAAATTATCTGTAAGAAAGTAAAGTAAGAAAAATTAAACAATCAGAATTATCTGAACGCCTATTTAAAAACTTTATGAAATACAAAATTATGATTAAGTAGATACTTCCATGTGGCCAGCCACAATTCGCTAAACTTTTACAAAAATGTCTATTGCTTTTTATTACCTACCTAAGATCTTTTTCACAAAGGGTAATATTAGAAAAAACAGTGACTTGAATGGATTATAGTATCTATTACTAGATTCACAGTGTTTCATGTAATTTATAATGTTGTGAGAATACATAATTATTATTATCAGTAGGTAGTCCATTTCATTAACTGAACAGATACACAAATCAATCAAATAAAACTGCGTTTAAGAAACTGTAGATTACATATTATGTATATGTCGCAGACACGTAGCCGTTGAATAACCACTTGGTTGAATGTATTAATTTCAAAAAGGTCCCTTAATACTTATAAAAGTTACTTATATCACTTGCTATGGAAAGGTAAGTGCTACTCAGGTGAATATTTAGGCTAACTCTACTAAATATGCTTGCATACATCTCTTCAATAGAATATCATTCATTCATTCGTAAATACTTGTATATCATTGATAAATATGTAACAATTTATATATTCTCATTATAATAAAACCGTTCTCTCTGCGATGAAACTCTCTTATTTGAGGCAATAATAATACTAAATATCAGCACCAATTATACCAATCACAATATTTAACAATATATATTTTGTTACTCATATCGTATGTATAATCATACTCGCCAATAATTTTAACATTATAATAATAAGTAAGCCAAATTCTATAATATTTTCACCATAGCGTGATAAATTAATGTCTAGGCACCTACATATTAATTTTACGCAAGTTAACAATGGCAGTGAGTAATGTAGGTATTTTATAAAGTTATATTATGTTTATGTATAATTTGTTAAATATTTTAGAATTTTGGTTCGGTAAAGAGAGTAACATGACATTTCACAAAGACATTTATAGCCTGACCAGGAACATAAAAACCCTGGCATAGAGGCGCTTCAATTGCATTTGATAGTGCAACACTGAGTACAGTCGTACATGTGTTAAATTAATAGGCTAAATTTATGTATCAGGATTCAGGATTACGGGCTAATTTGATATTTTCATAAATGAACGAAAAATATTATTAAAGGTAACCTGCTTTAAATAAATTAATGAAACCATCAATCGAGCTAGTAGGATTTATTTTATTATTCATCAATAATCAAATTCAGAACTTGAATATTCAACTGCAATGTCTGCTCATGAACGCTTCAAACTCGGTACTTCTTTCCCAATTCCATAAAATTCAAAACTTAGAAGGTAACAAAAAACTTTAAAATGGGTAGTTGAAACAGACTACAGCTAATTTTCATAGTGGACTGTACTATACGATAAACATGTCAGTCAATTTGACAACCTCTGTCGGAAACATTATTCAATGAAAATATTGTCCGAACCCTTAGTATTTCTCTGCGACAAATACTTTAACACATTGTGAACCACTTTTCTTTCACGACTATAAAAATATTTTAGCAATTTAATTCATAAAACCAATTGCGCACATTTAAAATAAAGTTTGTTTACACTTTGACAGCAATAGACTGACATGCAAGGTGACATGTCAATGAAGTTTTCAGTTACTGTTGCCATTAAAAGAAATTAGTACCATTAGTTTTCCGCAACATGGCGAGGGTTTTTATGTTCCTGGTCAGGCTATAAAAGGTAAATCTCAGTCAAGATGTGGAAATGTAAGCTATTTAAATTAATACTCATTGTTATGTGGGTAACTAGGTTTAATGTAAATTTTGTATTTATTTAAATAATTCTATGTTTTTGCATAAGCGTGACAGTGTATTTCGGACCGGTTTTGATACAGACAAACTTTGTTTTATCTGTCAAGTGAAGTGTTGCCATTGTAATTATTTTCACATATGAATATTTTTTACTCATATAAAAACACTGATTGTATTGAAGGTCTTGCAAAATTAAGTTTACTTGTTAACTGGTGTGGTGAATGAATGCAAAAAATACTCATAGCAATCTAGAACAAAATTAATTGACATAACATTTCCACAATCCGGCCGGTTGTAAAGTCCGTGATATTTTGGTCTATTTCATTTGAAACGATGGTCGAAGGAAAAAACAGTCAGTTTCGGGAAGATTCTCATCGCGCCTCGAGGCTCGAATCTCAAGAACAGGGGTCACCCTGGCTTTAATTGAAAAAGAGGTTGGTACCTCTTCCCGCCGTTCAGTCGAGTTCGTCGAAGTCGAGTACGTGGAAGGTGGGGTGATGGCGGGGGGGTGGGGAGGGCGTGGGGGGAGCGAGCACGACGGCGGGGGGTGGCACGCGCCCCGGCCCGCCCCGCTAGTCGTCCACCAGCTCCCACAGCATCAGCGCCGCGTCGGTGCCTCCGGCGCTGACCATGCACCGGTCGTTGAACAGGAATCGGGCGCAGTACACGGCGCCGGAGTATACCTTTGTCTCGTTGTATTCGGCCTTCGGACTGGCGCATGGGTATCTGGAAAGAGATGTGCTTTTATAGATAGATTCAAGCCATCTACGTTAGTTACTAAAGCCTGGTCTGTGAGCGACAGTAACATAATTACGCGCGAGCGATAAGGATGGGTAGCTTGGGGTCATTGGACAAAATTCTACGTGCTCACAGACCAGACTATTTTATATAATTTTTTTTCTAAAAAACAACATGTTGGGCGCCAATTTGCGAAGTCTGGAAATTACGATTGACATGAGAAAATTGTGTTGGGTGATAAATCCCGTAACTTTTTGCCATCTGTAGCAAATAAATAAGGTAACTTAGGTAAGACTTTGACTTCGCAAATTGGCGCCCAACATGGTGCGATCTTTAGATACAATATTTTTGGTACACTGAAGTTTTGGTATTTCCTGCTAGATATTTAAGGCTGTTTTTACCTGAACAGTCGTAAGTATCCGTCAGTATCTCCGCTAGCAAGTAGGTCATGTGCAGCTGATCGACTGGCCGTTGAAATTAAAGTCGTCATCGGATAGAATCGGTTGTTCCACATTCCTAAAAAAATAATTACAGTAATTTGAATATGTCCACCGTGAAGTAGTCACAAAAAAATAAAAACTTATCCCTATTTTACCTGATACAAGGAAGCCCACAGTAGAATTGAATGTAGACCACTTTACATCTTTCATAGCAATCGGACTCTTTTCTGGCGATAATGATTTTATATCCCCTAAAAACAAGAAAAAGCGTTAAAATGTGTTGAACAGGTCACAGGTAAAGGCTTTTAAAATTCAAGAAAGTGAAAAAGATTTAAGAGTCAAATATTAAGAGGCTTTCTTATCGGCCGATCAGCTCCTAATTTGTATCCGATACAAAATTGGTGTAATGTGCGTGCTTTTCATACTTGTTCAATATTCATACTGATAACCAGCCCGATTAAGCTATCGGCCGGCAAAAAGTCTGTTGTACTCATTGAAGTAATATTACTACGTAGTACATTATAACTCAGTGGTTGTACTCGGGACTCTATTAAACAAGATAATCCTCACAGAAAGCAAGATCGTAGTCCGCAGTGACTGTCTGCAAGTAGTTGCCATCGAGGCTCCAATCCAGCTGCATCAGCGGTTGGGCGCCTCGAATCTTGTTCGACTTCTTGTAAGAAAACCCATCGCGGGACACTCGGAATAGGTAGATGCTACCGTTTTGCGAGCCGATGGCCATGGTGTCTCCAGCTGTAAGTGAACAAAACATTATGACTATATTGTTAACAGCAGTGGGAAGAAAAAACAAATGTCAGGACGTACCTATAGAATGTCGCAGAGTCCAAGCTTAAGAAGAAATTGCTCAATCGACAATGCAGTTCTTAAATTCTGAATGGGTAGTCTATTTTATGTAACGTTACGTACGTTAGTCCCCACTCCCTGTGCGTAGGTGTGGGTGTGGGAAAGTAAGTGACTCCAGAATCTGGTTACAATTTTTTATTACCAGCTTTTGCCTGCCTCTTTACTTTAATCAAACTGCTCTCTTTCACCCACCAATGCAACTCCATACAGCAAAGATAGATATTAACAAAACAAAGAGGTCAAGGAAAAAGTTACACAGCTCTTGAGTAGAGATTGCAAAATCCGGATTTTTTTAAAATCCGGTTTTCAGGATTTGTGTTACGTACAAATCCGGATTATCCGGATTTTTCGAATATTGGGTAAAATTTTTAAACCATCAATTTAATTTAAATAAAACGTAGTTTTTTTTTCAAAAAGATGTAAGTATTTGAAGAAAAGCGTTTTATTTTATTATCGCGCATGGAATTTATTCCTCTTTTTTTCGTTTTGCGCTACAAGCTTTCGAAATTATTTGAACCTTGCATTATTTTTTTCGTTTTAGTACAACTGCATTTCAGAATAAAAACTTGCTTGTAGGGCCTACCTATTAAATATTTTTTTTATTCTTCTTCTTGTCGTGTCGACAACAAACCTACACAGCGTCAGCCCAAAACTCCGCCACAAGAGTGGTGTTGTCAGTAGCCTTCATTAAATCTTCCTGCTTGCAGCTGTTTGGGCACGCAGGGCACGACATCATGTGCTTCGTCGACTGGGGAACACAACCACACTTGCACTCCAAGTTTGATCCATCCAAGAATCCCCACCTGACACCTGAACAGATTGTCCTTACTACGGCAGACCTGTCCGAAGTCTATAAAGATTTCCAGGTAGGCCAGGGGAGCTCATTTTTTTTTATTATAATTTTATTTTACACTTTTAAGTTGTAATTCAATCTCAGGGCCCTGGTCATTATTTACGACCAAAGTGCTCGGGAAGACGAATCCAACGAACTCAAACTCTATAAGTTTCTGCCGTTTCGGTTAGGAGTTCCTATGGCCACCTCCTGACTTCATCATCAGGACCCTGAACATCATCTAACACTTAAGTGCTTGAAAAGACAAATCCAACAAACCCAAATTCGATGAGTTTCCACCGTTTCGTTTAGGAGTTCCTATGGCCACGTCCCGAATCCATCGTCAGGACCCTGGGCATCATCTACCACTAAAGTGCTCGAAAAGACAAATCCAACGAACCCAAGTTCGATGCGATTCCGCCGTTTCGTTTAAGAGTTCCTATGGTCACCTCTTGACTCCATCATCAACCCAGCTAAATGGTCGGCGGTATAGCCAACAACCTGTTTAGAACTCTTTTAAGGATTTCTCCACAATCATCCCCCATTCTCATACAATGACATTTCGAGATGAATTAATGTAAGCAAATCGGATCCGCTGGGTGAACTTGATGGGCGAGGTTGAAGATCTCTACTTACACTTGGCCTGCGGATGAATATGGAGAAAACAAAGCTTATGTCCAATGTCCATGTTGCGCCCTACCCAGTTTCGGTTGGGAGCTCAATTTTTGAGATTGTTGACAAGTATGTCTACCTCGGACAAACGATTCAGCTGGGTAGGTCCAATTTCGAGAAAGAGGTCAATCGTCATATCCAACTCGGCTGGGCAGCGTTTGGGAAACGACGCAACATCTTTTCATCCAAAATACCTCAGTACCTGAAGACTAAGGTCTACAACCAATGTGTGTTACCAGTGATGACTTATGGTTCGGAAACGTGGCCTCTCACTATAGGCCTTATACAGAAGCTCAAATTGCACAGCGTGCTATGGAGAGGGCTATGCTCGGTGTTTCTTTACGAGATCGCAGATTCGCTGACATACTAGCCCGACGGATACAAGCTGAAGTGGCAGTGGGCAGGGCACATAGTACGCAGAACTGACGGTCGATGGGGCAGGAACCTTGCTGACATGCAATAAATAATTTGAATTTGGAGTGGAGGCCGCGTACCGGAAAACGCAGCGTGGGACGTCCACCCACAGGGTGGACCGATAACATCATAAAGTTCAGCAGTGGACGTCCTATGGCTGAGATGATGATGATGACTTACACTTGCAAGGGATATTTGCCGATTTAGCTGCTCTTTAAAACTCAGCGATATGGTGTTTCAGAATCAGCGTCTCGTATAAAACTCACTGGCCGAATTCACTTACGCATGCGGCATGACGCGTCCTTGTGCAGGCACAATGCAGGTGTGAATGTTGTGCGACGAAGTGCGGGTGCGTTCAATCAAAACTTCGCTTGTTTTGCATCCATGTTGCATTCAAAAGATATTTTGGTTTATGATTTTATGATAAAATTTTTGGGAAAAAAATATTCGAAAATACCGGATTTCAAAGTCAAAATCCGGATTTTTTTATAGCCGCAAAATCCGGATTTTTCAGATATTTTCGAATTTCGAATAATCCGGATTGCAATCTCTACTCTTGAGCTCTCAACGAAATAGATTAAAACTAGGACACTTTTTTAATGCATAACAGGGCAGATATTTGACCGCAATCACACCTGGTGTTAAGTGAGATGCAGTCTAGGATGATACACACGGCCACTCTGTTAACTATCCATTTCCATTTTTGCTTTCGCTCTAATCAAATGATCATTATTTGCGATAGAACGAGACGACATGACAGGCAATGGATATTTAACACTGTGGCCAATGGTACATAATATCTGCCCTGTAAGTACATTCACTACAATACATGATTCACTCTCGCCAAAGACCCGAGTACACCCACCTGAGTTATACTGTAAGCAGTTGAGCGGCGAGCCACAGACCCTTAGCGTGGCCACGTGAGCCCCGGCGTCTGCGTTAAGGACCACCAGGTGGCCTTCCGTGCTGCCAGCTGCTAAGGCGCCGCCACCGGGGTGCCACGCTAGGGACACGCATTCGTAGCCAACCTGATGGGAAAATAAAATTGGTTTGTTACAGACAACACATCAAGCATAATACTGTGATATCTTATTTGCTTGTTGTAATAGATGCGATTTTGCATCAAAAAGTTACAGTCTGATGTGCAGTGGACTGTGTATTGCAAGGGACTGTTAACTTACGTCCGTTATTTGCTTATCCGACCTTCATATTAGAAGTTTCTAGATTTTTAAACAAGAGGATGGAAAAAAAAAACAAATCATGAAAAGTTGTATTATCTATGTAAATCGTACAACAGTCACCAATAGATTTCTTACTTACTTGTGAAGCAAACACCAATTTGTGTCCCTTCCAGAGCGCAATATTTTTGTCATGTCCAGCAGTAGCGAACATTTCGTCATCGGGATGAACAGCCAGTCCCATTAACTGCTTGTGATGTCCGAATAAAATCTACGAAGTAATAAAAAATATTTAGTGTAATTTTTTGACCTTGTAACACTGGTCTTCAAGTTGGCGCCCAACGTGTTGTTTTTTCCAAAAGGCTAAAAACTTATAGAATATCAAACCTGGTTAAACCGTCTTTGTAGAGATCCCTCCATGATGTTATTTCGCGTAGTCCCAACGTACAAGTTTCCATCGTTCCTGCCAGGTCTCTGTGGGTAGATACTCCTTACTCCACCAGCTGATTCTGGTAGCTAAAACATACACATTAAGGTTTATTATTGTTTTACTTCATTGTCTTACACCTTGCGTTAAATGTTATACCTACCTTTGTCTCTGTTATCCTCTTGTAATTTTGTAACGAGTCCCATGCTGCGATCTTTCTGTCTTTTTCTCCCCCTGATATCAAGGTTCCTTCTGATAGCATGACCAGTGAACTGATTCCTTTTATGTGAGCCTGAAAATATCAAGAAAGTCAAGGATTGCTGTGGACAGTGGACAATATTTTCACCAAGTTTATTTCCAAGCAGGCTTATAATCTATCGTCAATTGCTAAGTCATATGGAGCTTTTCTGTTATCCAGATTAGGGACCCCTGAAACAGCAATAAAATACAGCCGCTTTTGCTATAGGACCAATACTGAAGACAAAGAAAAAAAACAGTTGCTAGGTATTATAAAAATCTGTCTGATCGTTCGCGACATTGTAGAAGTTTTCTAATTACTAGCATTTTGATTCCTCACTGTAGTTTTACCTCAAACTCCATCCTAACGAAGTAGGCTCCGTCGCTGTCCACGCTGTAAATAGTGATGAAGCCATCGCTGTCAGCTGTCACCACGTCGCCATCTTGTTCGAACTGCAGCGCGGTGACGTGCGTGCGCGATGGCTGTTGAATGATTATTATTTGAAACACTAGATTTACAGGCTATTCTTTGTAAGCTGCTAACAGCCACAAAAAAGGTTAAGTGAACCCAGAGCTTACCCCACACGTACATGCAATACTTGACAAGCCTAAATTGTTACCTAAAGAACGATAAGTCTAAAGGTTGAATTTTTAAAATAATTTGAAAAAATTGAACTTCCTAAGGTGAGAATCGAACCCACGACCTTTTGCTTGCCGGGCGACTGCTCTTCCATTTAACTTTAACTTTCCTAAAAGTTAATAAAATATTTTAATAACTAGGTCAAGTTTGAATCTCATCAAATTAAAATACAATACGTCAACGCGACGATTGTATAATAGGTAGCAGTAGGATATTTCGAAGAACCTGTCAAAAATCATGATGAATAATGATGTTTTAGTGTTATCCAGTTAGACTAACCTGTTTAATAATATCCGTCCTCTCGAAGAAGCCGTCTTTTCTGCGGTTCCAGAAAGCCAAGTGTCCTTTTCCGTGAGTGATGAGCAGGTTGTCGTCGAGCGGGTGGAAGGCTGCCCCAGTCAGTTCCTCTTGAAGTGTCTGCGAGAACAGATTTAACCCTGATAAATTCAAATTCAAATTTTTTATTGCATATTAGGTGTTTACACAATTAGGTCTTAATCTAAATATAATGGAATATATTGTTTCAACCTTATTTAAAACATTTTTCGTTTGTCTAGAGGTAAAAAAAAATCATCATGGGTACAGTCAGCGTCAAATAGTGATACCATGAGTAGCCAAAAAGCTGACAACACAACCTTATTCCAATTGTAACAAAGACATGTTGTGAACTTATTGGCTACCTTGGTTGTCACAAACTACACTCAACATCAAATAAACCGCACCTTCCGCGACGCGAACTTTAAAGATTTTCTTCTGACACAATCATGGTACCCCAACAATATTGGTGTTATTTGAAAGCCCAATAAATATCCTTACAGAAAAATACATTTCATTTCTAAATAAATGATTAACATATACCATAAATGTGACTTGAAAATAGACCTCACTTTGGGCTCACCTCTGGGATCAATTAGACCAATTTTTATGGTTATAAAACCAAATAAAGATCTCACGTGTCCTCTTTAACAGATGGATAGCGATTAATCCCAAAACTTAACAGTTAACAGTCATAAAAATGGCTATAGCGTAACTACCTATTTTTTTAAGAAGTGACTCTGGATCCCTGTAAAGACACATTTTTGGGGTAAAAACCTTTCCTTTAATGAAATAAAGTTTAGAACTAGGCTTTCAAATGGTACCAATGTTGGTGGGAAGTGGGGATGCATACGTTTGATAAGTGCTTGTCGCGGGAGGTGCGATTTATTTGATGCCGAGTGTATTTGACGCTGACTATCCAAGGATGTAAATCCACTATACACCTTTAAGTAACCGTAGGTAACCGTTTACAAATTCAATAGTACCTACATTGCATTGCAGTGTCGTCGTAGGTAAGTATAACGTACTTACTTCGAAGAAAACTTGCAGAGTATTTATTGGGCCAACAATCTTACTTTTTTATCTGCATTCCTTATTGCCTACATACCTACTTCATTTGTTTTTTATGTTACCTTAAAAAGTTTCCATGTGAGAATTCGTAAGGAACTGAGTAGAAAAGAGCTGTGGCGAATTTTAGTATACAAATCATACTTTAAGTCTATAGACATAGAGCACAACAGTTGGATACTATTATTAATGGTTTTCTTTAAACGTGAGGGGAGAAGGCACCACCTCACTCGCGTGACCGAATCACATATGTATATGACTATACGAAGATTAATTTCGTACATAACACTTTTAAAATAGCCACACTTGGGCTGTATTACGGAACTAAACTTGAGACTTGAGTTTAAATTGTAAACTCAAACATAAGTTCAAGGTTGTTATTGGTGGTATAAATATTATTAATTTCATAGTCATGGACATTTTTATTCGTAGCATTGTGGCCCGTAGCATCGTAGCATTACTACAAACTACGAAAAAAGGGAATATCATATTTATAGTGATATTCTTACAGTAGTAGCAAGTCAAGAGTAATAACCTAAATCCATATCTATAAAAATGAAACGTCAAACTCATTGACTGACTCACTCATTGACTGACTCACTCATTGACTGACTCACTCATCACGAAATCTCAGAAACTACATGTGCTAGGAGTCTCATATTTTGCATTGGGGGTTCTTTTTAGAACGTAAGTGCTCACTAAGACGGGATTTTGCGAAATCCAATCCCTACGGGGGTGGATCCCACCCGTACCAAGTCTCGGGCGGCTGTTATAATATTTTTGACCATGAGACTACGACAGTTTATTAACCGTAGCTGTCGTAGCCCCGTAGCTATGTAGTCAACCGTAGCACCGTAGATTCGACTACGGAAAAGGGCGGACAATATCTACTCTATCTACAGTGACGATTGATGAACCAACACCCCACCTGTGAATTTAAAGCCTTGAACGCTCTACGTAGGTTCTAGGTTCATACAAACCTACGAGTCGTGACGTATCAGTGATTGCGATCCGTAGCGCTGTAGCATCGTAGACGCTACGTGTGGGGTTTTGCTTCGTGTATTTCAAAATATCGCGATCTTTTCAGACAGTAAACCAGATTTTTAATGATTTAAAAGTCTGATTTATTTGTTACAATAATTTTAGTAGTTGGCTACGTGGAACGTGAAAAGGTTTGCAATCACATAAAGTTTCGAAAATACGTGACCTACATACGAGTATTATTGTACAAAAAACTTCGCGCTATGCAGAGAATCTAAAGTTTTATGAAACTTACTGAAAAGAAAGACTTATTGAAACGAATATACTCGACTTTTAATACGATAGATAGCGCATAATATAAATATGTACACTATTAACGCTGTTCGAATAGCAACGTTGAAAAATTGAATGTCAACAGCGTAGAATTAAAATTGTCAATTTTGTAAGAATTTGCGTCACAAATCGTGATCAGGGACAATTTTCAAAAAAAGAAAACTGAAAAACAAATGAACTTAAAAACTTATTTCGGAACTTTATCGTCCTTCTTTTGTTATTATCATCAAGTCTTACAAATGATAACGTGTTTTATTTTCGTTTTTGTTTTCAGCCAGTGCCAGTGATCACGATAAGGCTGTATCGAGTGCAGCCATCGCACTGCACTAATGCGAGCGAAGACCTTGCTAGCAGCAAGGTTGTCGACGAAATTCGGAATCTTTTCTATCGTGGAATGTATAATGTCAGCATAAGCGTCTAGACGACGAGAGATAAAGAAATGGGAGTTACATTTTCTTAACTTTCTGTTGCATTTTGTACAAAAATAAAATAAAAATCCTTGGATATTTTACACAGCGTAATCAACCCTGGGTGCATCGAATTTAAACATACTTATTTTTTTAACACAGATATCGTGGAGCTAGAGGTTTTTATCATGCGGGGATCAAACCTACAACTCAACTAAATTAAATAAACACAGTCTACTCGATTACTTACCGCCACTTTTCCCAGCAAGTGTCCCCATTGCCACTGCCATACTGAGAGTATACTCTCGCGACCAGCATCCACGGCCAGTACGTAGCTTCCGCCATTCTAGAGAAAATGACGTCATTAATGAATATTCATCTTCATCTTCAAACAGAGCACGTCTACTGCTAAACAGTCTTGTTGGTTGTCCTAATAAATCATCATCATCATCATCATGTCAGCCATAGGACGTCCACTGCTGAAAATAGGCCTCCCCTAATGCTTTCCACGTTGATCGATTGGTAGCGGCCTGCGTCCAGCGCTTCCCTGCTACCTTTACAATGTCGTCGGTCCTAATAAATAAAATAAAATAAATAAAATTAAATAAACATATTATAGGTCGGAATCGGCCTGCATCCAGCGGCTTGAAAGGGTTATCTGTCCAGTCCACCTTGTAGATTTGTAGCATCACACTGAAAACGATCCGTATTTAATTTCCGTCAAAAAAGACTTTAGGTATCACTCTTGCGCAGCTCCCTACGTTGGCTCGTTCATCATATCATCAACACTCCAGCCATAGGACGCCGTCCACTTCTGAACATAGACATAGGCCTTCCCCAATGATTTCCACATCGCCCGGTTGGTGCATCCAACGCCTTCCTGCTACCTTTATAAGGCCGTCGTCCTCCTTTTGTGTGGACGTTTCACGCTGCGTTGTCCGGTACGTGGTTTCCACTCCATAATCTTATATATCATAGGTAAACTGGATGAGAATGCCTTATGGCATTAAGTTCGCCTAATGTTAATATTTTTGGCATTGAAGTATAAATAAATAAATAATCTTGCCGCCCCATCAGCCAGCTCGTTTTCTTTTTGTAATTGCGCTGTGGTATAACAAAAAAGAATTACAAATATATATATTCAACTATCCATAAACATCTTACCAGCTGCGAGAACGCCACGGCCGCCACGCCAGCTTCAAACTCAGCCATGCCGAACACGTGCAGCGTCTGCAGCGTGTCAGTACTCCAGATGCGCACGTGCGCTTGCGCACGACGCCCGCGCCCTGCGCGTTGCCCGCTCGCGACTAACTCGCGGGAGGGGTGCAGTTCCATACTATAACGAAAGATAGTTTGACGAAAACACATACAATTTTCAGCTGAATTGCACCATCTCCATCTTACATTAACTTTGACAAACGTCAAGTCTATCAAACTCCATACAAAACACCGGTTATCATTATAGTTACGGTTTAGGTTAGGTAGTGCAACTCAGCCTTAATTATGTTATTAAATGGGTTGTAGAATGAGGAGTTGGTGGAAGATAAGATTTCTTCTAACTTGTAGAGCGACGAAACACACTCGATTTGAGCGTTGAATTCACCGTGTATAAGTAGGTATAATAGTATAATGCTTCGCTATGAAAGGGCTAGACAATTCTCTAGGGTGAAAAGGCTCTATCATAGTATTTGGCAGCCTAGTTGGACTGCTTTTACATGCCATATCATGGCGAAGATAACCAGTAATAACTATGTTGATTTTTTTTTACCACCTATTGTAACCGTCTCTGGAAGTAAAAAAAAAATGATTTGATTTTCTGTGTCCAGTCCAGCAGACAGCAAAGTGGTTACTAAGCATTGTCTCTGTTGACTCGAACGCAAGTTTCTTTATTTTTTTTTAAATCTAAGAATAAGTTACAAAAATGCCCCAACCACGCCCCAACTTCCAAATGCAACGAGAAGTATCTCAAAAAATCGCTATTTAACAACTTTAAGTTCAGTTCCAAGCTATGTCTGTTCCTCACCATTGTATATCTTCTGTGTGTCCAATGTAGTGCCGTTGAGACTCTTCGTCGCGGTCATACATAACGGCAACCGCTGCGACATAGTAGAGCAGCTCGCCAGTAGGTAGCACCCATAGGTTGCGCCGGCTGTCGGCGCCTCGGTAGCCGTAACTACGACAAAAATTAAATATTTCCCACATTAAAAACGTTATTTTAAAATAGTTCTTGAGTTTTAGTTCGTTCGCTTCAACCAAATGACGTCCACTGCTGTATAAAGGCTTCCCCCAAGGATTTCCATAACGACCGGGCCTGCGCTGCCCGCATCCGTGACCGCTGACCTTACCAGATCGTCGGTCTACCTAGTGGGAGGCCTGCCCACGCTACGTCTTCCGGCCCGTGGTCGCCACTCGAGAACTTTTCTGCCCCAACGGTTATCGTCTCTACGAGCTATGTGCCCCGCCCACTGCCACTTAATTTTAGCAATACTGCGAGCTTAAGTTTTGGTGCTGTTTGGTCTATACGGAAATCGGGACAATTTTCCGCTTTTTCCTAAAAAATCCATTAAATCACACCGTTATTCGTTATCGTTAGGTATGTTATATTGAATGCAGTTGTGAACAAAACTTCGCGCACTTCTTGCGCAACCAACATAATATGCTAAGTCGTTTTATAAAATGCGCACGTATATAACCTTTATTGAGTTCTACTTACACCCAGTCCAGCTGCATCTTCTTCTCAGGGGGTGAGTTGTCTATGGGTGCGTGGTGGATGGGCGGGTAGAAGGTGCGCCGGAGTCCACGGATCGTTACCCTGATGGGCTCCTCCTTTAGCACTTCTAGCAGTGTGTAGTCTGTCAGAAAAGAAGTTTGTGAAACATTTAAAGTTCTGTGAGAGTTATTTTTTTTGGATTGGAATCCCCAAGGAAAACGCAAACGTGGTCGACCCAGGCAAACTTGGTTGGCGGCGCACTGTAGCGGACGAGGCGAGGAAGATCGGCAAGACCTGGGGCGAGATCAAGCGAGAAGCTCAAGACCGAACGAGATGGAAGACTGTTGTGGACGCCCTCTGCCCCATCTAGGGGACATAGGACCATAAGTCAAGTAAATCAAGAGCATTAATTTTTAAGGGTGTAAAATAATGTGTTAAGTAACTGTCTGAAATATCAAGGATCGGACAACTGGCCGTGCATTTAAAGTGGTAACGTTCGTTATTAATGCCTCCCTAACCCGTCTGGTTTGAGTCTTTCGAAAATTAAACAAATTAAACAGTGGTCGTCCTCCTACAGAAGAATGTCGAATGACCGATGCTATGAACTATTTCTATCAATATCTACTATGCTTACCTGAATTGCGAACAATTTCGCCTTCGGGCGCGTACAGCACCCGCGGGCGGCTTTTGCTGCGCGCTCGGCGCCCGCGCAAGTCTTCTGACGCTGCCGGCGCGGCGGCTACGTTGCCTCTTGATCGGGACCTAGCACAGTCATCAAATCAGATCATTTAAATCTATGTGCTTTTTTCAGAGTTGATAGTGCAAGATTAACTGACGGACTAATTAAAACTCTTGCTTTTTGACCCAGGAAACATCCCTATTCGTCAAACGCGCGGTCTTGATGTAGGTATGCTGAGCGGGTGCCTTTTTGTCAGAGGGGTATAAGCAGCTATCTGTGTATCTCTTTCATTATGTACCTATGCCTATGTCTTGCCTGATTGTATACCTTTCTTTCAAATAAAATAAATAAAAACTATTCTAAACGCAAAAAAAAATAAAATTAGGAGAGTTATTGATACACTTGAAGTATAGCGCAGCGGTGCGAGTATTTGTAACTTGTAATTGTCAGTTTTTTCGGTGGTAGCACATCTTCTTCTAAGAAACCTTGTTAATTGACACAATACGAATTGTGGTAGAGTCAACGCTGAGATGTGTATCGATAGTTTCGCTAGTGTCATGATTTTCAGAAAGTGTACAATAGGCATATTCTGTGTAAAAAAGTGTCTATTATTTATTAGTTAATCCTAAGTTACCTTCTAATAGGAGACTCGACTGGTAGCGGGGCGCTTACGCCAGGGCTAAGCGCGGGCGCAACGATCAGTGAGCCCAAGTAAAACGTTTCTACATCAGCGAATTCGTTTCGTAGCTGTGAGAAACTTCTGACCTGTAAACAATGGACAACTTGAATGACTTTATTCCAGCTTCCTACCTACCTCAAATATTTGATAACCTGTCAACTAGCTAAATAAGTGTGTGGTAATAGAGGTAGGTACGCACGGCTTTATGTAGGAAACCGTAAAGCATAAAAATTGAGTTTTAGTAGGTACTTCTAGCTTAGCTTTCTGCCCTCCACGGAGACATGAATAGAGAGACAACTACGAGTAAATCGGACCAAATAGCGAAGTGTAAATGGTAAATACCTCTTGTCCTGTGATTGTGTACATCCTTTTAGCTCCACTCATTTTGAGAACTTGACCCAAGTCTTCCAGTACTTCTTCGAATGGCTGTGTTGTGCGGAGGTTTAGTAAAACGCGACACTGTAAAATAACACTTTTTTATTGACAAGAATAACTAAATTTTGTATTCTTCTTGCCCATGTGGGTTAAAATAGGGTCGAAAATAGGCCGGAGACAGACGGAGCCGCGGAAGAATGTCCAATTTAGGATAACTTGAAACATTTGTATGCTTACCTTATTCTTGCCTACTCTACTACCAACTATAGGTCTATATGCTGAAATCTAGATTTATAGATCACTAAATGCCACGGCCAGCTACTATTTGTGCGGCCTTAACCATTTGCAAGCGCTGGCAATCAAAATCGGCCGCCCACTGTTTACATTCCAAGGCCCTTGCATTGAAAGCGTTCATTACTACATCGACACAAAAGATTCATTTTGCACAATTATACCCTACGATAAGTTAGTTGCAAAGAAAATTGTAGGGCTTTATTGGTTTTAATTGTGCTTCTTAACCTAGTTGCATTTTTAATGGCACGGGATCGCTGTAAACCGATTTCTTATGAAATGCTAGTTAGAAACGGTGGCTGTTTTTTAGACCCATAAAGGCGTTATGGTTATGCGTGATAACACATCAATGTGGAGTAATAACATGTTGATTTCTTTGTAACAGCTTGGATATTTTTAACCTTTAACCGACGACGTGATTTTTTTGTCACGCCGTCTGCGACGTGCGGTCTGTGGGACCGCTATACTGTTTACTCAAAAAGTAATCATTTTTTGTATAAAAGTATATTTATTTTATATTTTTTGAGAACATTATAGTATTACAAATTAACATACGTATAATTTGTGAGGAATCAATGTAAATTATTTATTTAAATATGGCTAAAACGTTTTTGACGCTTAATTTCATTGAAATAACACTAGAGCTCAATAATACCTACCTATATAACTTGTAAATTTTAATCAAAGCAAGAAAAACTATACTCCTTCCTAAATATAGTGAACATAATGAATAAAATAAAAATTATCCTGCTTTCGCCTCCGAGATTTATTTTACCATGTAGTACCCCTGTACGACAACCCAATCCGCACACAATATTCAGCGTAGTAGTATTAAAAAACAAAAGAGCGGGCAACCCCACCCCTACCACGCTGTGGGCTCGGTGTCCGAGCGGTCTCATTCCTTTGTGCGCACGCGCAACGACCGCACGCAGTATAAGAAAAATGCTTAAGTGACGTCACCAGGACGTTTTTACCGACAAAAAACGTAATTATTTTAAGTTGTGCAGTGTAGTGACGAGAATTAGACCCAACAAAAGGTTGGTTGTAACAACTATTTTGTGCAAGTGCTCGTACATTTTTATTATAAGCGTTGTGACACGACGCGTAACTTTGACCCATTTTTAGCTCCAAGTTAACGCGCGATGTTAACCAGTAGCCATTTTTTTGCTCCGAGGTAATGCGAGATGTTACCCAGTAGCCATTCTTTTGCTCCGAGGTAATGCGAGATGTTACCCAGTATAAATCTCTTCGGCGAAAACAGGATAATTTAGATCGAACTTCACTTGGTAAGTTCGTTTGATCATTCAATAAATGACACGTACATTACATGCACAAAAAAAAAATTGACGTACGGTAAACATTAGGCACAATCAAGACATTTTTTTTACCGCATTCCAAGCATTTCCGGTATACATAGATAACACCTGTAAGATAATTTCGTTTTCAATTTAGGTGGACTAAAATATACGTCTTTTTTGCCAGCTGGTACAGTGGCATCAGGCTGATTTGGCATGTCAGAACCTAGAATACATGTCACTGTTTGCTTTACCACCCGTTTCGGGGTATTTTTTTACAGACTACCATATTTTACATAATATTATGTCCAAATATCAATAATATCATTAGGAAATGTCTTTTCCTAGGTTGTGGTGGCCCAGGATCAATGATTTTTACGAAAAATGAGTCGTCTAAAACAAAAACGCAAGTTTTAGTATAGTACAAAAATGTCACGTAGTCTGCGACGTGCGGTCCCACAGACCGCTGTTGAACTTTAAATCGAATTATCTTATTAAAACTGCCCTCATCGATGTAACCACTACCTGTAATAGCGTTTGGGCAACTAAACTCGAAGGTACTGAGACGCTTCGGACAGTGCCGTATTATCCATAAGGCACTTTAGGCCAGTGCCTAGGGGCCCACTATGACCAGGGGCCCAGCATTCCGATGAAAAAAATAAAAATGAAAAAACATACGTTAAAGATTATTTTTATGCAACAAAACTCAAACCACCTCAAAACTTTGCCTTATTTTGGTTTACAGTTTTACACATTCAATCGTCATATTTCGATATTTTGGAAGTTAATTCATTTTCGTAACGTTTAGGCCATAGAATTAGATTTTAAATCGGAAATAATTCCTACAAAAGATTTTATTGTTTTAATGGCTTCATTTGTTGCACATTAATACTATCCTAGGTTTTCGACTTCGGCGGAGTTGTGCCTAAGTGGTGGGGCCCCCTCGAAATGGCCATTTTTGCGGTTTTACTGTTATACCGCGTAAAAGACTTACTGTATCGAAAACTGATCTTCATGACGGTTGAAGGACATTCAATCCTGCATTGAATAAGACCAAATTCATATGTTTTGGACAAACTGTTCTCGTGCTTATCTTCGACAAAGTAGAAAATATACTAGCAGGGTCCCAAACATTGAAAAGGGAGGGCCGCCTTAACCAGCGTATCCCTGTCAAGCCTCACCAGTTGGATTTACCTATCCTTGTTCCTCCTTCATCCTTAACTACGGTTGCTGCACCTCTTCTCTGCACTCTCCTGAAAGACTGTGTTATCTACTATGGCTGCCCCTCTTCCTTGCACCCTACTGCTCGACTGCGTTGCCTAGCCGTACGCCTGGTCCAAGGTTCGACGCCAAAAAATCAACTTCATACGCGTGAAAATAGTTTGAATACTATTTCCCGTGCTTGCAACATTTTTCTTTACTGCTTCGTCCCTATTAGTCGTAGCGTGATGGACATGGTATATATCCTATAGCCTTCCTAAATTTACAAGCTAGCCCACACAAAAATAATTATTTAAATCAAAGCACTAGTTTCTGAGATTAGCGCGTTCAAACAAACTAACAAAAAAACTCTTCAGCGTTTTAATATGAACCTGTTGTTGTTGATTTTTGGAGTCGGACCTTGGACCAGCTGTACCTAAGACTTGGCAACGCAGTCGTGCAGGAGGGTGCAAGGAAGAGGGGCAGCCACAGTAGATAACACTAGAGTCGTTCAAGAGAGTGCAAGGAAGAGGTGCAGCAACCGTAGTAAAGAAACGACTGCACTGGAATGAATAAGGATAGACGAATCCAACTCGCGAGGCTTGACAGGAATATGGTGGTTAAAGTGGCCCTTTTCAAGGCTTTGGAGCTTGCGGGTGACGAGCCATTGGACGTAGAAAGGGTTATTAATTATACGTGTATATTTTCTACTTTGTCGAAGATAGGCACGAGAACGGTTTGTCCAAAATATAATAATATGATTATTCTTATATCTTAGGTCTTATTCAATGCAGGATTAAATGCCCTTCAATCATCATGAATATTAGTTTTTGATACTGCAAGTCCTTTACACGGTATAACCGTAAAACCGCAAAAATGCCCCTTTCGGGGGACTACACCACTTAAGCACAACTCCGTCGAAGTCGAAAACCTAGGATAGTCTTAAAGAGCAACAAATGAAATCATTCTACTAATATTATAAATGCGAAAGTTTGGATGTCTGGATGTTTGTTACTCTTCCATGCAAAAACTACTGAACGGATTTTTATGAAACTTTACAGTATTATTGTTTATAACCCAGAATAACATATAGGCTATAATTTATGACGATCTGTGACAAACGAAATTTCACGCGGGTGAAGCCGCGGGAAAAAGCTATTGATTGATTTTCATGTCTTATTCTACTGCTCTATTTGGCATTACTGCATTGGTTTACATGACTTTATGTGCATCTTTATTTTTTAATGTTTATGTTAGTTTTATAAAAAAAAGGAAAGATTTTCCTATTCTTTGTTTCATTTTTAAATGACTCCGATACTAGATAGTGGTGGCGAAAGTCTTTCCACTTGAAGGAAGGTATACCTTTGCAATGTGATGACTGAAGTCTGTTGTTGATGATGATCCTACCTACATTCTATTTCGTATGTAGACAGTAAAAATTTCCAAATTGCGGTTTTGTTGGGGGGCCCGAAACGAGCTGTGCCTAGGGGCCCCGAGATGGTTAATCCGGCCCTGGCTTCGGACATGGGAGTAAGTAGAACATTGCAATCCAGAAATTTCAAAAACCGGAGCGGTCTGTGAGACCGCACGTCGTCGGTTAAAGGTTAAATGTCACAGTTACCTGGTTTCAATAGCTTCTTTCAGTTACGTAAAAATCTACACAGTTTATTTACAACTGGAATAGTTTCGAAACAGCTGAAAATTGCTTCAATCGCCACATAATGGCTCTGAAATGGTTTTGAATAAGCTGAAAATTGCTTCAATCGCCACTGTGGTCGCCACATAATGGCTATAATTAATTCAGCTAAGCACAAAACCTTTATTGAGTGGTTCAGTCTGTTAATGACACGACAACCGCCCAGGGGTGGAGCTTCAGTCGCCATCAACTTTAAGGGCTTGTACATATAGGTACGTACTAATATCATACATTAGATCAAACTACAACCAAAAATTATTCAAATGGAAAGCTAGTATTATATTGCAATTAGTATTCTCAATCAGTCACAAATGTTTAATTTTTCTAATTTAAGTATGCTTCATAATTTAAAGCAAAGTCCGTTCACCTATGAACGGTTTCTACGCTACAAAGCACCTGTATCTCCTGCTTTTAAATCTAGCCGTTGCCAGCTAATTTCAGGTTATCGGCGTGGCCCTTTGTTACGTTTTTCGAGACGGTCTCCATTCTTTTTGAACTATTTTGAACTTTACGTCTAGTTATTTAAGATACCTGTATAGAATGGTCCATGTTATTGATGATGCGTATCACGCGCCCGCTGCCAGGCTTGCGGAGCGTCGGACTCCGCCACCGATATGGTCCACTGCTTTGTTACACATTTTATATTTTTGAACTATTTTGAACTTTATGTCTAGTTATTTTAAATACCTGTATAGAATAGTCCATGTTGTTAATGATGAGGATCACGCGCCCGCTGCCAGGCTTGCAGCGTCTGACTCCGTCACCGATATGGTCCACTGCTCTGTTACACATTTTATATTTTTGAACTATTTTGAACTTTATGTCTAGTTATTTTAAATACCTGTATAGAATGGTCCATGTTATTGATGATGCGGATCACGCGCCCGCTGGCTGGTTTACCGCCGCCCGGGGGCGGAGCGTCGGACTCCGCCACCGATTGTTTCCTTGTACCGGCGCGGGACCAGCCCGGCGCCGCGGCCGTTGTGGTGCCACCGTACCACATGCCGTTCTTCTTGCCGTAGCTGGCTGCCTGTTGTCAGTTAACAGTTAGGAAATGTGCTTGCATGGTAAGAGGTATTTGTGAAGCGTATGTTTATCTAGGTACTACTCATTGGCACTTATAGATCGTTTCATCCACGAAGACGCACCCCATCAATTTTTGGTCGAGGAAAGCGCGGGTTGCGGGGAATTTGATCAGAGCGTCATTATTGTAGTGTGCGTGTGCACTCGTGGATAATTTAGCGTGTACCGATAACACTCAAACGGAAGAATGGTGGGGCGCGTCTTCGTGGATGAAACGATCTATAACCTCTAACATCATCATTTACGTACTTAGTTCATTATATTCACATCAGTCAACTAATTCGATCTGATAATTTTACATTAGGTAAGTTACAATCCATGTAGTTTCGACAGTTGGAAGTAAGATCCATCAGGGAAGATGCTAAGAACTTGTTCGTAGTGAGAAAAAAAAAGATCTTTACTTTATCTTAACAATTGCCGTTTTATGTGGAGGATGACCAAAATCATTTTCAGTTGGTTTTTATGTTAATTGAGACTGCTAAATTGTTTTTTTTTTTGTTGTAAGTTTTAATCATTGTTTGGATTTAAGCTGATAAAACGAAGAATTGACGTCAATCGTCTATTTTTACCTCAAAAGCCTACTGGTTTTAAATGCTTGACATTGCAAGTTCCAAAATATCGACCTCACGGCACGCAGGCATGCTCACTTCGTTTTAGGCTACAGTTAATAAGCAGGCATTGGTTAGACCATGATGGATTAGTATTTATAAATAAATGTCTAGAAATTAATAGGTACGATTTGATTTAAACAAGGTTCCGCGGCCTTCCGAAAGTGTACCAAGTGGTATATCTTAAAGGTGTCAAGCTTAGATAGTTTTAACGTAGAATAATAATATAAAGAATTCCTACATAAACTTAATGTAATAAATGTAAAGGTTAATTCAGAAGAACTAATAGGCAATGAGCCAAAATAACAATGCATAATTAGTAAACAAAAACTATACCTAAGCTGTCGGGAAGCTACACATGTTAGTAAGACTTTTAAAAGGCCAGCCATTCGATATCATACGTAGTAATTTCACGTATATTCAAGTTAGGCCTTGCCTCTCGCCCCTGACACCATTTGGTTCGATGAATGTGCAAATAAAATGGGCGAATTTTCTCAGACAAACGACATGCATGAACATTTACTTTGGACTTGTGAAACGCCCCTCGTGAATTAATGATACTCCTTGAAGGAATTTATGAAAAATTGCTATTATATGCCGTGCTGTTTTCTATTTAATTGTTTGTGAACCTACATTGAAATAATTAATTTACAATTTAAGCCCCATGTTTAGGACAAAAGCTCTTTAAATGACATATTGCTATCTGAATACAGAGCCGGTCACTGTCTTAACATGAAGTATTACACAAATACAAAGTCCTAAAGTTGTATCACAAAAAACTACGATATCTTTTGCAAGGAGCACATGACTAAGTAAGTCACTTGCTATTGCTTGTTGTTGAGCGGCAGAACGCGCGAAGGTGTTCGTAGTAGAGATTCTATTATGTTCATGGCATGCGGCCGGCAACGGTATATGTTATTCGATAATTGAATTGGCTTTGAAAGTCAATGAATTAATGATAAATAAACACTGACAGAACAATATTCACTCATTAGTTTAAAACTTACGCATTAGCTCTTTTTAAATTCTTAAACGTTTTTGATAACTACGAACATTGATGCAGTTTGCAGCAAGGTAAAATAACCGATAAATCAGCGCACTGTTAACTCAGTAAATATCAAAAGCTTAAGTTGATTTAAGTTTGGCAAGTAATTGCAATCAGCTTTCCAACTCACCATGATAGTTATTCTCAAATCTTCAGCACTTTTGGAGCGATAGTGAATCCTAATTCGCGGTATTTTGCTAAGTCAGCGAATGTACGACAGGCGCCGCGTCTGGCGACCGGTCGACCACTGCTCCGTAAACAAAGCTTCTCAACGGCCAAATTATTCCGAAGTCCTTGGCTGAAGGTACTGTCCAAGGACGCCTTATCGCCAAGTCTGTGCGTGCAATTAGAGCAGCCCAAATCTGATGGACCTCCCTAATTCCTTACGAGAGTTTACGTTCACGCGATTCTCGGTACACTGTCTGTTACTCGGGGCTCTACGAAAAATGGTCTACACTCTACACAGACCGTAGAGTCATCGCACGTGTGGGCCAGCGAATATACGTCGGCCGCGAGGTCACGTTTCAAATTGCTGCATAACAAGTGGACTGCGGTGTTTGTGAAATTAATATGTCTGAAAATGTTGGTCATTTTGTCGTTTACAAAGAAATTGTTGGTCGCCATGGGGAAATGGTTTGGATGAAATAATGTTATGCAAATTACTGGTGGTGGTGAGTAAGCGCTTACTGACCCTATATTTTTGGTTTTGGCAACATTTTATGAAAAATACACTTATTTAAACTTCTAAGAAACTTTCAAGGAATATTCAATGGTTCCATTATTGTTACATTTTAGCTCCACAGGAATTTTGAATGCAAAAATGATTTACTATCCATTTAGATTTTCTGTGAAGAAAAGTGGAACACGAACAAAGGCGTTACAATTTAACACACTTATGCCGGTTTGTTGTTTACAAGCTTTCAATCAGGCCTCTAATTTGCATTTTATGCATGTATTACCCTCTTTATGACATTAGCATAGCATTAGCCTATCTTACGCAGCGGCCCGATACCCACAACTCACGCAAACACGTTAACACATACACGGAAACTTCAGATTACTTTTAAATCGTATTTTTTTTAGCATTTACTACTGCATAAGTAATTTTAATAAAAAGTGCTTCAAATGTCCTTTGTTGATAGAGTTGATTTCAAAATAAAATTTAGCTTGGTTACACATGTCATAAGATGCCCAAGCAATAAACTAGTTATCTGCATTTAAAGTTTTAAAGATGCTCGAACGAAACACGACATTAGATGATATCTTTTTATGGATCCATAACTCAAAGGGTTCCAATTAATATGCCTGTTTGTCTCAGCAGGAATGTGTATCTATCTCATATTAATCACAATAAGTAAAGGCTATTATACCAATAATAAAAGCTAAAAGCAAATGAGGGCTCCACACACGTTACCGCTACCATTTTTTGTCCTTGCAAAAGTATTTGATAGATAAAAGGTATATCGATATAGTGCTTGGTGTTTCATCTACTTCTATACGGAACCCATCGTGTGCTGATCCAACTCGCACTTGACCGGTTTTTGCGATCAGTCAGTGATCAATGGATGATGAGACTATGAGTGCTGCAATTTCGGAAACTTACAACGGGCTCAGGCGTGTAGACTGGCAGCGATATGACGACGAAGGGCGACTCCTCGTCACTGTCCAGCATGGAGCCCTCAGCCGCCTGGAGCCAACGGCCTCGACTTGGGCGCCACAGTTTGCCTTCTTCTCTAACCACAAGCGACTCAACCAATCTCTACTCTGACCTACTTCGGCAAAAAGTTAAAACAAACCACGTAAAAGTAGGTAATATCCACCTACTTTTATACTTCTGTAAAGTGAAGATCAAGATAAATATTTTCGCGCACAAATATTTAAAAAGAAACTTCGGAAATGTCAAAGAAAATTTGACGGCAAGTTATTACGTATAATAAGCTGCAGTTTTAAATGTCACTCGCGTTCACCACCTCGAGTCAAGTTCAAGTACCTAACTAACGGTGGACGTACACACACACATGTAGCATCTTCGTGTTGGCATGCACTTAGTTTTGCATAAACTGTGATGTCTGCTTAACATACTGTCCCGGGGTGACGTCTATCCGGTCCCTCGCTCCAATCAGACCAACATTAGCATAAACTAACAGTAAACGTAGGAGATACGCGATTTGTTACGAAATATGGAATTTAAGTCGTAAACTGGATCTAACACACAATTTTCATCAAATAGATATCTGCGGAAATATCCTAATAACAAAAGTAAAGATTAGAAATTCTAACTTGACGTAGTTGATATTGGAAACGTTTGTTCAGTGATGCAAAGTAACAGCGATCGAAATTGTTTGTCACTCGTTTCTGAATAATCATCCTAAGTATTTATTCTATATGGATGACATAATAATATTTTCTCCAAGTTTGGAAACACATACCTACTTAAGTTTCAATTGAATATGTACACTTTTTATAAAGTTGGTTTCACAATACACCTCGGCAACTGGACTAGTAATGTGAATTTTATGTGCGCCAAGCGATACTTTGTAATTATAATTAGAAACTAAGTAGGTCACTTTTTCTTGCTTGTTAACTGAGAAACTTTGACAAGCATAGTTGATGTAATATTGTCACGGAAAATTATAAAAAGAACTGTATGAAATTAAACCACCTTAATAGCTTTGTACAATAAGTACTTAATGAAACAATTTTCCGGATTGAAAACAGATTGGTAAAATTAAGAGCGAAAGCAAAGAATACACAATGTAAACAACACGATGTTTAAAATCAGGGTATTGTAACTGTGTGCCAAACTTTCTCACTGATCAAATGCAATTTGCAAAGTCCACACCACTCGGTAATCACTGTTTACAGTATAAGTGGCAATTGCGATTGAGAAATAAGACGTCGTAGTCCGTAGAGCTCAGCTATGGTACTAGACTCCACTGTTGCAACAGCTGACTAATTTGCAGCACGGACAAAACAAAAGCCGGTGGATGCACGCGGGCCGACGTAACCGTCACGTCACTCACACACGACTAGAAGCCCTATTGCTGCGTGATAAAGCGTTAAGTCGAAATAGCAGAGGTATCCGTTAAGCACGGTTGGATGTAGCAGACTATTCGAATTTTATACAGTGACTGTGGTGGATGGAAGAAAGTCGCGGCGGGGTGGGGGCGTCAAGGTCACTCTCCGCTTGAATCCACGCAACCCCGTAACTGACCGTTTCCCAACTAAGTACGTTGATATACATCGGTCAGACGGTGTGGTATTATGGCCCTTTTATGAGCTCTCACGTGAAAC